AGAATGGACCTGATGATCAGCATTGACAAACGAGGCTTTTTCTCACGAACCTACCGACCGCCAAAATCCACACACAGTCGATGTATCTGTTCAGACTAAGTAATGCTCTGAAAAACCGTGGAAGGAACCAATGACTGATATTATAGGTCTTTTCAATTCTGTTCTAATCCAGCAATAGCCTGCTTCTTCTATAGCTAGCGCTCAAAAACTGGGCTTCCTGTGAGGTCAGTGCCTTATACACTGGCTTGTTCTCACAATTTGAGCTTTCCGATTGTTGGGCGGGGATAATTGGCCTCGTTTAACAAGCAATGGATCCCGGTTTTCCTCTACTTCCTGATGAAAACTGGTGTGCCGCATCATATAGCAGACGTGATATAAACGAAGGCTTAAGCTTCGTGAGTTATAAAGCTAAAAGCTGACTATACACAAAGAACTGCTTACAATGGAGGTGCGGGTAAAACTGCCGCAAAGCCAATGTGTGGTCGCCATTTTTGAACCAAACTAAACACTGCATTGACAGTCCCAGGTTACGCAGGTATAGAATGATGTCCGTAAGACTTTGATACCAGCTGAAATCAGAACGATTTTTTCGGATCAAAGTCACTCGTCACATGAGGCTGTCGTGTGGGCTTTTCTGAATTGCAAAGCCGTATAGTATGCTGTGCTAATCCATGATTTTCAGAATGAAATAAAGATTTAAAGAGAGACCGTAAATAACACATTAAAATAGTGGTTTTGACATCCATAATCCACCAACCCACCATCACACGCCGTTCGTACCTTTTTGTTTATATGCTCGAGATTTAAGAGTTTCTGTAAAGTGAAAATTGTGCTGTGTCGATCATCAGTTTTGATCGTTTTCCATTTATATGCTTAGGTTTGTTCTGCAGCCACTTACCAAAATCACACACGTGTCGACGAACTTCGAATAAAGTAAAAATGGGGACAAATGAAGGGAATCCCCGGCTGCATGGATGTCCTTGTTTTCATCGGAGCTCACCAGGTGGACACAGACGGATCAAACACATGAATGTTTGATTAACGGTTTCAGGATGTGCACACCTGACCATGTGTTTCTGGACCTGTGTTCTGTAAGTTTAAGGTAGATTGTGTTGAGTCCAAGTCACGTGACACCAAAGGTTTTCCAATAGTTTGCAAGAAAAGAAAGTCCTTACTATCTGACTAAATCTTTCCAGTACGTGTTACTTTTTCATTAACACATTTGGCCGATTTCCGACTGGTTAACTTAATGAGGCATTCCAGTCTAGAGATCTTATGTGATCTACGCATCAAATCGGGATAGACAGCCCTCAAAAAACACACTTTTCCATCGTTTCATTTATCAAATCGGTCTGTCAGAATACCTACATACAAGTTTAAAATGAACACGACCATCAGATGTGGTGTTTTTCTATTTGGTATGCAAAATAGAATACTTATTCAGTGCTATAACAGGTTGCAACTTTTAAGTGGTTGTCTAATGTTCCCAGACGTGGTGTAGAACAATCAGTAAGTAGCACGAAAGCATGTTTACTGTGAAAACTATCAGATTTAGCAAACTGAATGCTTGAAATGCTTGAATAGCTTTTGCATATCCGCTTCAGTTCAGCTTAAAATCTTTTCCCTTACTACAGACGACAAGAATCCATTCCTCTATTTGAGCAATACAAGAGAAATTGATCCGGAGCTAACTTTGCCCCATTCGGATTTGACTGATAATGCAGATCTTTTTGGTGAGCAAGTGCCCTTGCCGAACAAAACTTAGAGTGTGCTATAAGAAAAAATTATTTACTGTTGTTCGTTAGAATTGCCGTAATAAACATTGCTGCAACTCAACAACTTGGTTTTGACCTTTGGTCCTGGCAAGCGGAATATGTCCTGGAAGTGAAATATGTCTCAAGTAGAAGGTCGAAAAATCGAGCACACAGAACTGAAGTTGTAGAAAAGATATCATGCAGGAGAAATAGATTAGTCATGTTTACCAGTGGGTAACATGAAGGGAAAGTCCATATTTCAGATGGTTTGATTTTGTCACTCGACTGACTTTCAATTGAACCTCTTTTTTACGACTGATTGTGCTGGACAAAAGAAACCTCATATTTCAGCTGATTCAGCATTCGAGATATATGAATGCGCCTTCTGGATGAGTGCGTTAATTAGCCGAAAGTTTTTCGAAAATCCGCAATTTGTTTCATCCTTCTTGGAGCTCATAGGATGGACACATTCTCCTATTTTCAGACTCATCCTGCATGTCGTGGCATGATTTCCTGTTTCCGTTTTTGTACTAGGTACCATTAGTAACAGTTCGGCATTTATATTCTGGCTTTGTATACTGAAGTTCAACTTACCCATCAGAATCCGGAGGGATTCCTGAGCAGAAGATGTGGGTAACGTCTTACTTTTGGTATTGCTCAATCGTTTATTTCCTAGAACATGTTTCAGTGGTGTGATTTCTCATTTCTCTTGCTTATTTGCATTTCTAAGTGTCCAAAAAACGATAGTAACTGCTACTCGCGTCTCCAGAAATCAGGCTATAACTGGCTCAACACTGAATTCGGTCGTCTAAGTATTGTACTTCAAAGTAGTAAGTTTCTTTCTCGCAGTCACAATCTGTTGGTTGTGTCGTCGCAGGACTTTCCACGGTGAGTGATGATGAAACCACCTAATATACACATATGATGCTTACTTGTTTGTCCACAACATGATCCTGTTTTTCGACGATCCAACCAATCTCTGTAGCACTACAGTAGAAACACACTCGTAGCGCGTGTGCACCGATGTGATCGGACACAGAGATTCAGAGGACCTAGGGTGAAACCACAACTTGGCTGTCACTAAGAGAACATCCGTTGTGCAAGTCCACTTGATCGTCACTACTAGCCAAATCTGTCTACAGCGCAATGTTGTCCTCATTCATGTGAACAAGCATGATCTAAAGTGACCAGTTCAACAGCGAAAGCTTTGTTTTTTATGAAATTGTTTTCCTCAGGGTCTTCATACACAGGCCCACCTTCAATGACTTCCATCTCGAGTAGTAACCAATCTCGGATACGGAATATCACAAAGCAAGTATCTGGACCGCAAAATTTGGACGGAGTTCAGTGAGCGTCTTTAGCTTCCGTATCGCTGGTAAGGTAAGGATATTTTGAAAAAGAGATATCTCGGTCGAATCGGGTTTACAGGGACTTGATCGATGGCGCCCGTGTAGAGAAAACTTCGGAAACATTGTGGACAAAAAGTGTTTTCAAGTCGATAAGATAACTCAGCTGAGTTTTCAAGACGACAAGATAACTCAGCTCTTCTTGGATCTGACCCCGTGGCATGTCAAACAATATTGAATAATCTAAATAGCTCTGACTCGCGGTTTGTTGTGCACTTCACACTTGCAAAGTGTAAAGTGCTACTGCAAGACTGGATGCGATGGAACCCTAGTCTGATGCTTGCGGATGAACAGATTGAGGTAGTTGACAAATTTGTTTACCTGGGCAGCTGTATCAGTCCGCGAAAGATGATCGTTCCATCCGGATTGGGAAGGCCAGAGTGGCTTTTCTGAACCTGTGTCACCTGTGGCGTAGGCATGACATCAACTTATCCGTCAAGGGTCAAGTTTACAATGCTGCGCTGAGCTCCATACTACTACACGGATCAGAAACCCGGCCGTTGCGCGCAGATGACGTCAAAAGACCTTCAGTGTTTGACGATCGATGTCTTCGGATCATTGTTCGAGTCTGTTGGGAACACCGTATCAGCAATGCTGAAATATGTTGGCAGCAAAGTATAAAAGCCATTACCGGCGAACTCAGCTGCACTGGTCATTGCCGTTTTTCTGGATGGGGACCCTGAGACGGGCCACATCAATGGTTGGAGACATTGTCAGACATGGCCCAGTCGCGCCCTCGATAGCGCTCGTGCATCCAAGCTATTGCCTTCAATGCACAATCTCAGTTCGCTATGATGCATGCCAACCAATTATGGGCTGTAGCTGTCATCATATTCGTAGTGCGCCTCGAAAGAAGTTTGACAACAGAGCATTCAAGAGTTATTCCATGGATACCAAGTCATTCTGAATGCTCTTTTTAAAATCATTTGTCGGATTACATTATAATAAATAATACCGCAGTTGGCAGTGAACGCGGTGAAATCGTTCTTAGTCAAATAAGTTCATGGTGTGTGCATAAGCGTTCAGCAAAATCAGCCCGGCTGGAGTATCATTCATCGACCTGCCAAGAGCAAACGCTATTCCAGTCATTTTATTGTGGGCTAGCCAAACCAACTGAACCGATGGATCACTTCCCTCTCTTTATGCATCTCTGAGAATAAGATCACTCTCCTGTGACCAAAAAAACATGAAATTCCTCCCCTAAATGCTTTTCCGTGACAACGTGCCACATTTCATTTTTGCCGTGATTGAAAACAGTACAGAAAACTTGAATATCGCACAACTTGTCTTGTTACCATTCAGTGAAAAGGATTAGGCAAGCTCGATGCTCTAAGAAAAAGAGTGTCCTGATGCTTAAGTGGTTCTGCTTTGAGTAATTACCATGGATGTTTCACGAAGTAACTACATAATTGTAGGAAACAGAGCGACTTAAATTAAGCTTGTAGATATTTTCTTGAGAAATATCCAAGTCCTATGGTGAGCAGTCATTCACCACGGGCTTTGTGACAATTTGGCACTGGACTAGGAGGTATGGTTAGTTCTGTTGCTTTGGAAATTGTCTGTCAAGCAGCTTGATGGACAGTCCAACTCGGGATGTATATAGATGGTGACAGCACCCTCCTGCTTCTTATACCTCTGTTACTAACCTCCTAACATGGGTCCGCTGTTGCGCAAAGAGATAATCTAGCTTTCAATATCCAAAGTCTGCTTACAGATTTTCCACGCAATACAGTATAAAGTCTCTTAGGGGCGCGAATTCAAATGGCTTCTATCGATCTGCGTCACATCAGCTGAGCTTGTGATATCCACTACACAGAAGGCTGAAGATATTTAAGTAGCAATGTTTTGCTTCAGAACTAAGAAGTCGCCCAAGCGCGCGTACATAGAAGAGGAACTTTTTCACCCCAAGCATTCTACTACGCGAAAGCACAAATCAACGCCACCCCCGGCGAAGTCACATTTGAAGGCTGTTACGGGACCAATACCAAAGGTACCATTAACTCCACCCCCGATTCATGCACCCGCTCCTGAACCTGTGCCTCCGCTAACAATTTGGTCACATGAGAAGGATGGTGACACGAAAAACTCAAAGGCCGGGGATGCTGATCAGCCACGAAGTGAGGGCAAGCGAGTTCTCTCTAGAGAAGAGTTAAGGCGGCTACGGCATCAGAGCAATCTGCAGCTATACAAATACAGTTTGCCGCTGCTTGCTGAAAGATGAGTAACCGAAAACATTCTTACGGACAACTTTTCGTTTCTCCTTATCTGTCATAATATTTGGTGCAGATTTATGTTCAGCGCAAAAATACATCAATATTCGGTTAAGATGTTTATGTCTCTGGATCAGTATTCTTGTTTGACAAAGTGATTGTCGACTTGGCTTACCTTCTAACAACAGAACACGCCTTTGTTCCGAGATACACCATGTTGCAGAAGCGCATAGTTGAGGTTTGTGGGGTAAGGTGAGCACCAGCAAGGAACGTTGCCTCCGGAAATGTCCTAGAATCACTGAAGGAATATATGGTTAACTGTCCCTGAAATTCAAATTTTACTTGGCAACACAGAATTTCCCGACCTGAAATGTCCCTAAGTGCATAGTGTTGAAGGCAATGACTTTAGCGAACCACAAATATACTTTAGGATACCATCATCAACATCACCCTCTGTACCAGTATCCTCAACACCAATATCATGAACATCATCCACATTATCACCGTTGCCACCGGCGAACCTTCTACCGAAACCGTCATCCAGCAGCAACAGCCACATCATTATCGTTGTCTTCAGTCATGGCATCAACATCATCCTCGCCCTCATCCTCATCCTCAACACACCGTCAGCATCAAAATGGTCATTAGCATCACCTAAATCAACTTCACTGTTGTCCATATCATCATATTTCAGTTACGTCCAGTCTAAATCCTGATGCAGCGTAAGAAATCAGAGGAATAAGGCATAGATACTAGGTAATTCACAGGCATCCTAATGTTGGACCTAGCAATCAAAGCTATCTAATAATCTGGAGGCCAAAAATGCTTAGTTGCTCCCCAACTACACTACACAGTGCAACCCACAGGTGAAGGTCTCAAGACTTTACATCCCATTGCATGAGGCGTATCTTTCAAATATATCACTTGGAAAAAGCTCTCGAAGCTACACAGGAGTGTTTGTCAACACAACGTAACAACACCGGTTCTCCACAGTGCTCTTTTAGTAAAGCAGATCCATAATTTCACAAAGCACGGTATATCTGTTTTATCTTAATTACATGACACAACCGTTCTCATCTGCTTGTGAGGCAATATTCACCTGGATCGCCTCGGGATACATGAATAACATTTCTATTAGTGATTTGTGACAAATGGAAATACCACAATTAGGCTTTCATTCTCATGTTTGTGGTGCACGTTTTCCCAACTTTCCCTCGTAGGGTGAGTAATTAACAAAACCATATCCTGATTTTGAGATAACTAAATTTACAATCAGTCACTCACAGTTGAACAAGCCCGCGCTACTTGCTTTCCCAGGGCTTGTAGGTTTGGAATTCTGCTAAAGGTTAAAAGATGAGAATTTTACTTCTTCGTTTCTTAGGACTAAACATCAGACGTCCTTCAGTGAATGCACCCATTCGGAAATTAAACCAAAGTTAAAGAAAGATTCGACTGAATCCCAAATGAATCTCTCCTCTATGAAATTCTGCCGCTACTTCATACTTCGTTCAGCTGGATAATCCTGATAGTGCAGTATAATTTCTTGACGAAATGCATCACCTCAAGAGTTTCTCAGAACTCTTTCACAGTACACCATCTGTTTTGATCTCCTTATAACTCACCAGGTAACCACAGCTTGTAGAATTCACAAACCTGACGGAACCCAATAGGAACGAAAGCCACACTTGGCTTTTGAAGAGTTTCAAAAAAGCTAAATTAGTGGTATGCATTTAAGAAAATACACTGCGACACTCGAACTTTGTCCCAGGTGGAACGTGAGTGGGCTTTTGCACAGGACATTCTGTTGGATAAGATCGTAAGCCTGATTCAGTTGAGCGTTCTGCTAAAACGAAGTCAGTGTAAGAATGAGTGTATTTGGCGAATTTTCTCTAATTGTAATGTTTATATATATATATATATATATATATATACATATATAA